AACGGATGCAACTTAAAACGTGGTCTATGATATTAACAATCTAGTACGGTTCGGTTCGCATAATTCTTCAGAAAATCCTATACTGGCTATAAATAGCCTTCAGACTGCTTACATACCTGGGCCAGTTCATTTAAAACTCTTCAGGTATGTAAGTATGTCCCTTTTAACTTAGACCGGAATTGTTATCCCTTCAGTTTTTTCGAACTGGACCGGATAATGCTAGACCGAATCGCAATCCCTGTAGCTAATTGTTGTGGCTAGTCCGGATGAAAATCCCTATAGCCAAGCCATTGGACCGGACAGACCCTTCAATGACTTCACACTTTTTTTTTTGCTAGTCCGGATCAACATCCCTTTAGCCAATACAATTCTTTTTTTTTCTCTTTTTTTTTCACTCAGCGTGTACGGTAGCATTTGTTGAAACATTTCTTAAACCAGAACATTTATACGGAATGTCTTCAGAAATAGTGCGAGACCGACCATCGTTTTCTACATTTCCAACACCTACACCCGAGGAGCCTGAGCTTACAGACATTGTATCACTACCCACAGACATAGTATCGCTATTTTCGGACAAAAATGTCGCTTCTATTGTCAGTGATAGAGTCGTCATCATTAAGATCAGTTTCATTCACAAGATTACTTAACCCATCTGTATACGCCGTCACGTCATCGTCACTATAATTTTCAGAAATTTCTAGTAGGCCTGACGGGCCTCGAGGTACTTCGCGTAAGTTTTCATGGGGAAATTTGTACACTCTATTAGAACCATTTACATGTCTCAACTTATACCTATCGTTTTCCAAAACTGCAGTAATGTTTTTTTTTTTTTTTAAAGATTGAAAGATTACTGGTGGCCCGGTGGCCTTTCCAGCTTCACCAGGACAGGTGGGCGAGCAAAGGCTCAGTCAAGAGGGGTGGGATTTGCTAACAACTGCCCGAGCGCCTCCGAAGGAGACCTTACAACTCAAGAGCAATTGCTTCGCGAATAAATCTACTACCGGATCGGAATCGCGACCCACTGAGAAGATCCGGCGAGAAACTCAGTGGGCTGATGCATGGGTTAGGTTGCACGTCGACCTCTTTGTCGAGTTCGACGAGTACGGTTACCGGGGTTCCTCAGCCTGCTCCTAGTGTTAGAGATGAAGGTATCTAATGCAAGAGTTATTGGATCTGATGGATCCGTAAGGACGTGTCTAGGGAGACGACGGTGACTTGCTCCTGCGTGATCAGGATTCGGGGTGCAGTAATGTTGAAGGGACCTTTATATTTTCGGTCTAATTTACGAAAACAAAATCCCCAGCGGAAAAGAGTTTGACTTTAGCTTTGCCTCGACTAAACCAAGCTTCTGTTAGTGCCCATATTTTTTTTGTTTTCGCAGGCCTTCGACCGTCGGGTTCTGACCTCGGAGAGGATCGGACTTCGGGTGTAAGAGTGCAGGGGAGTCGTTTAGTGGGTGGGCCCTAAAATCCTTGGGCCCGCGATCTGCTCTCAACACCTGCAGATCGTTGAGTCTCACATACCCCACGCGCCCTTTTTGCACGGGGACCTCGTAGGAGGTTCGGCGCCAGGCCCGAAAAAAAAAAAAAAAAGAAAGGCCTTCGACCGTGCTAAATCAAGATCTAATCTAGAGGGATTATCACTCTGTTGAAACTTTAGATATTTCAAGTGAACTACCCTGAACGGTAAACATCTATTCTATTGGGGTAAACCCTGTTACTCGACAACGTGTACTATTAAGGGCGAGTTGAATATCCCCTAACTGCTCTTGCCATGATTGGTCCGAGTTACTTTCAGATCAAAGAGTGACTTGTTCGTGAAACCGCTTACCATTGAATAAATTACTATGGCTTTGTTTTATAAGGCTACATTCTGACCCTGAATGGAACATAAAGGGGAAGTCAAAACCACTTATCTGTAACACACTGAAGCTCTGGAACACACGTTGAAGTCTCTGGTTGGACCTGCCACAGCACCTGGAGCAGTATCGTTTTTCTTCTTGTAGCGCATGGAACACCCAGAAGCTACATGGCTCGCATCACCGCACACGTAACAGCTGACTTGCAGGCGAGAGCCGGGCGCCCACGGATGAGGAGATTGTTCAGGTTTTGCTGAAATATCTAAAAAAAATTGAGAGCAGTATCTGTCGCAACACCCTTCAGTACGATGCCCAGGTTTTTCGCAGAAATGGCAGCTTCCACGGAAAAAAACTTCGAGAGCGTTTTGGTTCTTTATCAGGATCTTCGTTTTTTTTTTTGAGGGTAAAGCCACGTAATGTGCGAAATAGATGATTATCGGTGGTAATAACGACAGAGTTCAATTCCCGACGGATTCTTTCATCACACTGCGACAGTATTGATATAGCAAACCCGGTGGCTATTTTCTGGCATATTAGCGTCGGGAATCTTCTTTATAAGATGCCATAGCCGGATACCGGCTTCAGCTGGTCCCTCTTTGCTTTCCATTTCAACTTTAATAACCAGGTCGAAGTGGTCTTGCATCATTAGAGAATTTTGTCAGCATCTCTTTAATAGTAGGCCAGGATATCTTACCAGGCTGTATTTTTGTGAGGCAAGTAGCAGCTCGAGCCTTAAGCGAATGTGTGAGAGTCAAAATTAAATCTACACCATCCAATTTCTTCTGTTCGATGATCATTTCGCTCAGCGTACACCAATTTACAACATCAGCCTCCGGTTCATCCGGGTCAAAATTGACCAATCTGGTTGGTGAGGATACTTTCAGTGATTCTTTGTAACATGGCTTCCATCCCAGATGAAAATAATGACATTTGTTCAAACATCATATTGTTGGCCGAATTATTTATTGACTGCAGTGGAGGTGAGTCCGACACTTCTGATATAAGCTTGAGGGTAGACATTATCTTGCTGAACACCAAGTAAAACGAAGTCACTTTTTGATTCCTGATTTAAT